TTCGACATAATTAAAAACTGCCGATTGAATTACCAAAATTGACACTTTAATTACACAACACTAATTACAATCTAAAACCACACAATTATAAAACACAATTTTCACTTTGGTTCGCAATTATTTCGCTTCGAAGTATTCTCTTGTATCGCCAATTCAATACTGCCTTGGTCGTGGTCTATACCGGCCTTATATAGGGCCTCAGATAGTTTCCGGAACCTTCTACTGTAGCGAAATCTAGAATGTTCGAGTACATATCGGTCCCGAAATTTCTGGAAGAATCTTGACTCTCCTAGTTCTGCTACTCGACAATAGAGGGCGCTAGTGTAACTACTGTTCCCATGTACAAGACAATAATAGTGGCGCGCAACAGTATTATAGCACTTTTAATAGTTTTAAACTTATATACCTACGGATTTGTTCGGAAACCTCGGTGCGCGAGTCCGACTCGCACTTGGCCGGTTTTTTTTGATAGAATAAGGGTGACAAACGAACAATCAGTCCACCTGATGGAAAGTGGGTACTGTGGCCCATATACATCTCATATATTCTCGATTTAAGAATCAAAATGCATGTGCTTTGTCACTCCTATGGACTGAGATAGAATGTCTCATTACCAGTAAAAAGGGTCTCCGGTTCTCGACATTCACCATACGAAACACAGCAGCATTAAGCTTCTATTTTACGCTGGTTTTCTGTGAGAGCGTGGTCCTTCCCCGATCGAGCCGACTCATTCATGTTACCACAATTATTACTTGCAACATGGCTCTACCACGTACAAGAGAATACAATTTAAGAATCACGCAGTTCAACTACAGTTAAAATTTAAAAGTATTCATTTTTTATCTTTTTTTTTTCAAAATTTATCCCGGTGAGCGGCCAATGATTCGAGTTGTAGTCGTAGTTTAGAGCTATTCTATCAGGGGCGTAGCTACCGCCGTATCAGCCGTATCAATGATACGGGGCTCCCAGGCAACAGGGGCCCCAAACGTGTGTAAACAAAACTTCCAAGGACTTCTAAGGGACAGGAAAGGCCATTAATATCGTCTGTAGAATCAAAGAATTTAGAAAAACTGAAATCGTCTTCAGTTATGAATGCCGCCGAATCGTCTTCAGCTATGTTCGCTGAACAAAAGGCAAGAAAAGTGTATATTTGATTTTAATTGTTTGGCTAGCTTAGTTCCTAGGAGTATTAATTGTAAGTAATAATAGTAACTAATAATCAATAATAAATAATAATTTAATTTTTTTTTATAGGAGAGGGGGCAAACGAGAATGCGGCTCACCTGATGGTTAGTGACTACCGCTGCCCATGAACAACCGCAACACCAGGGGAACCAGGGGTATTGCAGATGCGTTGCCGGCCTTTTAAAAAGGAGTAGGCTCTTTTCTTGAAGCTCCCTAAGTCGCATCGGCCCGGAAAAATCGCTGGTGGTAATCGATTCCACAAGGAAGTTGTGCGAGGAAGAAAACATCTTCTAAATCGCACAGTGGTGGACCACCAATCATCCAGGTGGTATGAATAGTATCGCAAGTTTTGTCGTGATGTGCGATAGTGGAATTGAGTGGCTGGAATTAGTCCGAACAATTCCTCAGAGCACTCCCCGTGGTAAATGCGATAAAATACGCAAAGAGATGCAACATCTCTACGCAGTGCCAGTGTATCGAGCCGATCAGAAAGAACTCGGTCGTCGACGATTCGAACCGCTCTGCGCTGGATGCGGTCAAGTGGAAGGAGCTGGCACTGGGGTGCCCCGGCCTAGAGATGAGAACAGTATTCAATGTGAGGCCGGATTTGTGCTTTGTAAAGTTGCAAGCGATGTGCCGGCATGAAATATTGTCTCGCTCTGCTGAGCACGCCAAGCTTTTTTGAGGCCAGTTTGGACTTCCCTTTCAAGTGACCACGAAACTGCACACTATTCGATATGTCGACGCCGAGGATTTCGATGCTAGCTGAGGAAGGAAGGGGAGTGCCTTGAAACTGAGGAGATAGGACAAAGGGGTTCTTTTTAGCGGTAAACGCGCAAACTTGTATCTTCTGGGGATTTAACTGGACTGGATTTAGTCAAAGCAAAGACTCGACTTCAGACACAAGTTTGTCCCGGTAATCGGCGACGTTTTCCTGACAAATATTGGCACGGCCGGTATATAAGGCATCACCAGTGTTGTCGTCTGCATAGCAATTAATGTTACTAGTTTGCAGCACATCATTGATAATCAGGAGAAACAGCGTTGGTGATAGTACGCAGCCTAGTGGAACACCAGCGTTGATAGGCTTGAAATCAGAGCATGCACCGTCTACTACAACCTTGATGCTCCGATCAGCAAGGAAACGGGTGATCCATTTGCACAATTTCTCGGGAAGCCCATTGGAAGGAAGCTTCGAAAGAAGCACTTTATGCCAGACCCGATCGAAGGCCTTCGCTATGTCTAAACTAACGGCCAATACCTCCCCCTTGGACTCTACTGTACCCATCTATAAGTCAGGTAGACCAGAAGATCACCAGCTGATCGACACCGACGAAAACCGTACTGGCGGTCACAAATCAGCTGGTGATACTCAAGGTACATCAAGTGAGCTGGCAGTTTATAATGGATTCCATTATTTTGGAGAAGGAGGTTATGGCGACAGGCCTGTAGTTGGACGGGTCTGAGCGGTTGCCTTTTTTAGGGATCGGGTGGACCAAAGCTGTCTTCCATGAATTCGGGACTACGCCTTGGGAGTAAGAGTACCGAAATAGACGCGTTAAAACCGGTGCCAACTCCGGAGCACACATCTTCAGCACAATGGGAGGTACTCCATCAGGCCCACTCGACTGACGTCCAGGGTCCAGAACCGAGCGCTGTGTAAATCGCACATCCGGCATGGAGCCCTCACATCGCGGGATGGTCGGCGGTGTGTTCCCCCCTAGAGTCGAGTTGGACGCAAAGAGAGAGCTTAAAAGATCGGTTTTCTCCTTTGTGGCATGTGCCAGTGAGACGTCCTCTCTTTGCAGAGATGGAAGAAATGGCTGACAGAAGTTCCCTTGGACAGCCTTGGCGGGAGACCAGAATGCCCGGGTTCCCAAAGGAAGGCGAACTAGCTTCTCGCCAATTCTGCCGATGTACTCAGAACCTTGCCTTGGCAATGACGCTTTTGAAGGACCTGGAGGTGGAATTATACTTCTTTTTAAGAGCGCTGGTGTTTACATCCCGAGACGTTGATGCGTCAGCCCAGGCCCGAAGGCACTCCTGCTTATAGCGTGATGCTATTTTATAGGAGCGACCAAACCATGGCTGGGATCTGCCTCCGATGGGCACCACAGAGGATGGAATAAAAAGTTCCATACCCTGAAGTACCACATCAGCAACAGAATCGGCAACAACGCTGGGATCTTCCGGTGAGAAGCAAAGGGTCCCGCGCCCAAGGGTAGGATGCAAATAAAGACCGCATCGCGTCCCAATCGGCCGACCTATAGTGCCAAACACGGCGGCAAGCTGCAGATCGTAACTGCGATGGGAGCGTGAGTGGCACCGTACTCCGGATCAGACAATGGTCCAAGAAGCCCAGAGGGGCATCGACGGAGATCTGATATCCGTCCATCCGTCCGGATGAGGGGTCAGCAGAAAGTCCAACAGCGAAGATATAATATGATCCTCCACATCTGGGATACCGCGTAGGCGAAGTAATAAAAATTCACGGATAGCGTGACAGGGGTCGCCATGATCTTATTGCTCCGCTTGCCCCGAGCAGCCTTCGTCGCGAGCGGAATTTTGCCCCCCCCCCCCCCCCAGAATACGCGGGGCAGCCTGAGCACCCACGCTCAGGAGTGGAGTAGTTTGGTCGTGGATGCTCAGCGAGGATTCTCCATGGGTGCTGGTACCTCGGGTAGTCTTTTTCTTAATTCCGTTACCATGTTGATTGGGGGGGGGGGGGAGGGGGAATTGGGCATCCGGCCACCTGCACTCACCAAGCGCAACGCAGAGGTAAACCTCTACTTCACGCTGGTATTCTGTGAGGTCATGGTACCACCCCGGTTTGAGCCGGCCCATCCGTGCGACAGCAAAAGCTGCCGCTGCGGTATATAATTATACCGCAGCACTTAGGAACTTTGATAGCGTGATTTAGGCTTCGGTGCGTTTCGTTTATAGCGCGACATCAGCGCTGCCAGATAAACACTATGCACCCGGTATGCCGAGCCACTTTACTTACGTTAATGCATGAAAAATGAGAATTTGCCGTCACGCGTGACAACCGGGTTGCTGATCGCCATGAGATTACAAAACAATGCTTCAGACGTGTGCTCTTTGATTATTTACACATTTTTAACTCTTCTTTTATTCTACTTTTTTAAGGAATATATTGAATATATGAAAGAAATAATAATTTGTACAATTTTTCACCACTGCTATGATATCTGTCAAATATTTCATCTCAGTCCAAAGTGGCGCCACTTTGGAGGCAGTAAAAGTCGTAGGAGCCGTCATTGTAGGAAGCATTTGTCTTCATGATCACTCTTGGCAGGCGTATTACAACTACATGAACAGACGCACCTTTGACGCTGTTGCCCGTCGCTGATCTGAATACTTTTCCTCTGGATGTATATAGATGGTAGACATCTCGATGGATATTCGAGATGGTATACTGCCATCTTTCGGAATCTATAAGATTTCCCTCGCGTTTCTCTTAGACTCATAGTACCCACCTACATGCTGACCACCTTCCTCTAGAACGTCAACGTCCTCTAGAACGTCAACATCCACGTCCACGTTCCTCTTGGCCACCGTCGATAAGTTTTTCAACATGGTAGACGCTTCAGTTACATATATCATGGTTGCAGCACGAATCGCTAAACTCGACCAGGAAAGGACCACGTATTCTATATTTTGATTCGAGCATAGATGTAAGTGTCTATGTGCCACAGCATCTACTTACCACCATGAAGACTGTGTGCCGATTTGACTGTGAGCCAATAAGTAACTTATATATTTATGATTTCTATAAATTTCATTGCTTTGTTTAGTGAACGATTCGGCCTGTACGAAGTTGATTTTGATTCGAGATATAAGAAAAGAACGGCGAGGATGTCAGCTCTCGTGTACAAACGGATCATTCAATCGAGAATCGTGGAGAAAGACTGGGAACCGAGGAATTTATATATTAGCTCACAATACTGAGTCGCGTTGTGATATTAATATACTTCCCTGTCCATGAAAAATACACAATAGTTAATAAAACAATATAAATGTTCATATATGACTTACCTAACAGTGAAATAGTTAGTATATTTTCTATATTATTAGCAAATGATGATTAATTTATGTTATAATATACACTACTGTTAATTTAACTTGTCTTTTATTTAAAACTTAGTCCGAGAGCTCATGACGCATTTTTCATGAAGTTTTTGATGCATCATGAAACTTTGTTGAAAAGTATAAGTCCACTCAATAAGCAGGTATATGACTGTTTGCCCGGCCTACCTGGGTACAACTGGTACTGTGCATACAGGTAAGTCGCAAAAAAACTTGCCCTAATAATAATGACCATCCGTCAGCTAAGTTGAAAAAGAATTAAGAAAAAAAATGGCAGACACTTCTGAAGGGAATGACATAGGGGCAGACTATCCCAAAGTTGTATTTTCAAGAATTAAAAAAAAAGTGTTTGATTTATTCTGCCTGTATTAAATACTAGCTGCTCCTCGCGACTTCGCCCGCGTGTAATTTATTACGATTGGATTTCATGGGTTTTAAATTTTCGCGCGGCACTTTAATTCTTTTTCTTAAATAAAAGTAGCCTAAGTTACTCCTTATAACATCAGTTATATACTAGTGAAATTCCTGTCAAAATCGATCCAGTAGTTTCGGAGATTAGCCGGAATAAACAGACAAACCAACAGACAGACAAAAAATTTTAAATTGTGTTTTTGTTATAAGTACCGTATATAATTTCATATGCATTTAATAAGAAGCTACTATTTTGACATTACAAACAGACACTTCAATTTTATTTATTTGTATAGATAATAAAAAATTGTCACAAAAGGGCAAACAGTTTCTCGTGGGGTTAATAATTTAAAAATCTATACAAATAAATAAAATCGAAGTGTATGTTTGTAATGTCAAAATAACAGCTGTTTACTAAACGCATATGAAATTATATACAATATTTATAAAAAAAACACAATTTTTAAAATTTTGGTCTGTCTGTCTGTATGTTTGTTCCGGCTAATCTCCGAAATGGCTGGATCGATTTTGACGGGACTTTCACTGGCAGATAGTTGATGTTACGAATATAAAGAGTAACTTGGCTACTTTTATTTTAGAAAAATTGTTAGAGTTCCGCGTAAAAAAAATAAAACTTAAACACCGTGTATGCGCACGTTTTACATAAATATTTTCTTCTTATAAGAATATGCCGAACAACAAAGCACAATAACGAAATTGTCGCATTTATGTATACTCTATTTCGCCTGGAAATACCGATCCTTATTACTTAGAGAGTAGTATATTCCTTCTTTACTACTGATAGATAGATAGATAGATAAAGCATTTATTTGTTTCTCCAATCACACACGTAAATTCAGTAACTAAACTAAGTACAAAGTAACATATTACGAAAAAAAAATAATTTACAAAAACGTAAAATCTAAATGTACATGTGTGTTGCAGTTTGACAAATGGGTCCTAGCTCAGCGATTAATATTGCTCAGAGAGCAAACACTGATTTTCAGCTATTACCCTCGAGATGACGAGAAGAAAATGAGCACAATAGTTAATCAGTGTAAATATGTATATTTGAAAGATGTGTCCTTTCAGGCCTACGATTTGCATCCTGGGTTTAATTTAGTAAAATTACTACTAAACTCAAGCGCAATCATCATCAGCCTGTTACAAATGAAAAATAAATAGAATCTTTGTCTGCTGTTGGTGGCTAAATTACTGATATTATTCACAGTAATTTATATTTCGGTAGGAAATAATTAAGCAAAGACGAACAATAAACTTAATTTAAAATTGGAAAAACCATGCACAAGTAATGAATTTATAATAAACGAATGGACAAACGAAGGAAAAAGAAATAAATACTAATAATGTCAAAAAATAATAAAGTAAAAAAAACAATAACTTATTTTGGCACATTTGTCTGACTCCTTGCTGAACGTATGCATGTCAAACTTGGCCACTAAAAAAATCATTTCTTAGTAAAGTAAGAACATGCCAAAGAGGGATAGAAAGAAGCTACATGAATGTAACACTACAAGATCTAATTCAAAGCGCTTTGATCAGGAAAAGAACAAAGGCAAGAGATGTTGTCGAAAAAATCCTAACGCTAAAATTGAAATGGGCTGGCCATATACAGAAAGTAACAGACAGTAGGTGGTCACAAACAGTAACGAACTGGTATCCATTATATAAGAAAAGAAGACGAGGTAGGCCATCAAAAATGTGGAGTGATGACATCGTTGAAGTAGAAGTACACTATGGCCAAGATTAGCACAAGACAGAAGCACTTGGAGTTATTTGAAGGAGGCTTTCACCGCAGAAGGCGGCCCTTACAACTAACACAATATTTACAAAAATTAAATATTAAGACATACTAACACTATTAACAAATAAAATAAGAGTAATATATAACATTAAATAAATATATAACATTATATAAACATTAAAAATATGTAAGGAATAAATTAAAGCTAAATAAAAACAAATAAAAAACTTATTTTGGCCCGACCAGGGATTAAAACTCGGGACCTAGTGATCAACAATCGCGTTTACGGCCACTAGATCAACGATGCAGTCAAACAATAAAATTAACGATATTGGGATGGTATTCAATAAATTTAGAGTAACAAACTAACAAATAAACAAAGTAAAACTACAATGAAATATAATAATATCAAAAAATAATAAGTTAAAAAAATCCTATAAAATATTTTAACCCCAACAGAGATTCGAACCTGAAGACTCGTGATTATTAAGCGCTAACGGCTACTAGACTTGTAAAATCGGATATAACATTTTCAATTTGCCTACGGATATTCGCATCAGCATCCGCAAATGCGGAACATCCGCATCAATTTAGACATCTGCATTCGCATCCGCATCCCCATAAATCAATGTGGATTTTTGATGTGTATGCAGATGTGGAGCAAGTCACGAAACGATCAGAAAATGGGAATGCACATGCCGGTGACATCATCCAAAAAGTTTGTTTGTTTTATTTGATCGAGGTAATTTAGAGCGTAAAATATGAGAGCCTAACAGATCGGGTGTCTCCTTGGCGGCATGATCCAGTGAGTCGTCCACCCTATGATGTGAGAGACAAGAAAGCACGTGTTCCCGAATGAAGGCGAACTAATTTCTCACCAATTTTAGTGATGTGCTTGGCAATGACTCTTTTAGAGGACCTGGAGGCACTCTTAAAAAGTGATACTTATTTTTAAGAGCGCTGATGTTTGCATACCGAGACATCGATGCGTCAGCGCAGGCCCGGCAGCACTCCCGCTACTGGTGTTCGCGCTAAACGCTAATTTCAAGAACGAACGCGAGAGGGCGCGCGGCTCAGTGTCATACTGGTTTGACATTCGGTCGTGCGTAAAACGCCCAAGAGCAGTGAGTCGTCTGTAAGCGGTGCTGACATGAGCACGCGGTCAATTCTGTTAGGGAACTCGGAATAATTAGGTGCGGCCCGTAAATATACGGTCTAGGATTTTGTGACGCGCATTCCTGCTGGAGAGCTTCCCGGGACTTATTGGGTCCGACTCAGAATCTGTATAAGTGCATTCGACAATATTAGCTAGTGCGGCCTCTGATATTCTAGAACTAACTGTTGCAACGCGAAACGGTAGCGACCTTTGGTCCAGAGGCTCCGTGTGCGTTTTGTGCGGTAACCTTATACCCCGCGATAGTTAGTGGCTTCTGTAAGTTAGTTAATCGCACGATAGAGTTAATTGACTGTCATCGTGACGAAAGAGGAAAGTGATTGTGGTCCGGCGCCGAAGCAGTCTGAAGCGGTGCAGCATTTTGGAGCAGCCTGAAACTCAGCCGCGGCTGGTCGCCTATGCTTGACAAGGCCCCAAACATTCACACCTCACTATACACTACTCGCCATCCATTATTACACACACTCACGGCCTGCCCAAGCCTTAGTGCGATGTTAGCTTCGGATAATGGTAAGTACTATGTCTTTCTAGCGTCCTCCCATCTGGTTTATTGTAATTAGGAATTTCCACGTGGCCATATTCTGGCCCCGTCCCTTTGCTGCTCGTCGATGGGATTACTCATGGGCCCTAATCCCGTCAGCCTTGGTTGGGGTAGCTAGGGGCGTGTACAAACTGGTAGCAGAGCGCGGTTCCGGGTTCGATTCCCGGTCGATCCCGACCATAGTGTTTGATAAACATTAAACAATTCTGGTGGCAGGGAGCGTTGGTTTGATTGGTTTAATTTGTATCTACAATCACGCCCGTCCGTAATACGTAAAAATATTTTTTGTACGTAATAATAGAATTATTTCCCTTTGTTGTTTGTTGCTTGCCTTTTTTTTGGTTAGTGGGTAGATTTGAAAAGCCGCGCCCTAGGTTGCGCAAGCGGGAGTTTTCTAGAGATATACGTCATGTAGGTAGATGGTTATTTTTACCTAATCGGTTAATTATCGTTGTCGGATAGTTGTAGTGGATTACTTATCGAAGGGTCGATTTCCGAGCTAGGCATTTTTTGTTGATCGACCGTGATGTGTATCTTCGTTTGTATTGTAATTTGTATTTGAACTAAAGAGTAGTAATTGTATTTGCGCAATTAGAATTTAACTTGATTTGATCGCACTAGTATTTGTTATTTGTTAATTTGATTTGTGTCTTTTCTTTTGAGCTAACTTGTATTTGGTTGATACGTAGTAATTCGTATTTGTGTAATTTCTATTCAACGCGATTTGATAGGAACTGCATTTATTAACTGTTAATTTTTTGGTGTATTTTTTATTTGTTATCTTTGTAATTTGTGCTCGATCCGCGTCGTAATTTGTGTTTAGTAGTGATGTCATCGCCCAAGCTACTGATCCGTTGTCTGCGGACTGAGTTGCGCTGGGCCACAAGCGCCCATGCTTTGATAGGTCGACCGGATAGGGTCCATAACTTGATGAAGCGGTTCGAGCAGGTGGATGCTCGAAGGGCCGCAGTGGAGGAGGCTTACGCTGAGCTCGAGGATTCGGATGTGGAGAAGGGAGTCCTGGACTCCTGCTTCGCGGACTATGAGCAGTTCCTTTGGCTCACGGACGAGTTGATCGAGGCTAAAGGCAGGTATGCCGAGGAGGCGCGTGAAGCTCGGATGAGTGGCATGCCCGAGTTCTC